AATTAAGCTAAGTTAATCAAGAAATTACTTTTTAGATTGTTTTGAAAAAAATAAATAGCAGAAGCGAAAGCAAATATATAACTTTATTTTGCTAAGTAACTTTTCTTCTAATAAGATTTTTTCTTTTTTGTTTAAAAAATTTGCATTATTTCAGTTTATGGGATTGGCAGAAGCAGTTTTAATGATAATACCAACAATTATCATTGTTGTTTCAAACGTATTGGTCGTTATACGACTACAGGCTCATCTTCGTCGGATGCCAACCTCACCGACAGTATCGTTTAGTACAGCAGATTTGGTGTTGAACAACAATCACTCAACTGCACCTGCAACAATCAAGAGTAACGACACGATATTAAAGTATACCTTTTTTTTAAATTTTATCCATGCTAACTATTGCGAGTAGAGGCATTAATCAAACTAAAAAAAAAAAAACAAAATTTTTACTACAGTCTGTAAATTTAGAAACCAAAAGTGCTCAGGTCTAGAGTCCCTTCACTGTTGAAAAGAATACTAAAGAATGATTCTTTGTTGTGATAATGAATATGAATAAACAGTAATTTTATACAGTTGAGAGTTTTATTTGTCAGATCTGGTTTCTCACGTCTGAATAGCCGAATCTCGATTACAAATGCTTCAAAACGTAAAAAACGAAAAAATTTACGTTACGCCGACGTACAGCTAACCAGAAGTCTTTTGGTTGTTACTTCAGTGTTTGTTGCACTGAACTTACCGACATATTTAGTGCGAATATACGGACTTTTTTTATCATCAATTCTGCCTATAGCGGTTAGTATTTTTGCTAGCTAAAAGCTATTAATTTAGGTTAGCGTAACAAAAATTTGAACTGCATTTTTTTGAACAATACATAATTTAAAAAAATAACTTCTTTGTTGAATTGGTTTTAAAAAAATGAACGATTTCACTTCTCTTTTGTATTCACAAGAAGTAGATAAAGGCGTAAGCTAAATCTAAAATTACTGGCGAATTTAGAAACAAAGCATAGCAATAAAAATTTAATCAAACAATTCTTGTAACCTTACAACCCTACTCTTGTAGAGCAATACTTTAGACTATAAATTTGCAGTATCCGATAATGGATTGCCTTAGTTATGGATCAGTTCTACTGTTGTATACACATCACGCTGTACTATTTTACCTGTACATATTTTGGAGCCCACAAATGAAACGACGTTTAATACCCACAGCACTAAAGTTACTTGAATGCTACTGCTTTAAATTTCCAGGCGATACGTCTAATTAGACAGAAATCAAAACTGTATATTTTGACAGGTTTTACACCTGAAACACTTTTGACTTATGTGTTGTTAATTTCATTATAACTTCAATTAAGAATCTCCAAAATGCCTAAGATGAAAGTTCTCCATTTTGACCATCTCAAATAATCTTTGTCCAATTTAGTTGAAGTTTAAGCAATAAAAAATTTCAACTCAGAATTTGAATTTACTACTTGATTAGAACTATAAATCTGATAAGAAACAAAAAAGGAAAGAAAGAAGTTTGTTTGGCCTAAAAATGGTGGTTTCATCCTGTTTGTTCAGTAACTGTGTTATTTGCTCTTTTTTCTTTTTGCTGTGTAAAGAACGGGTACACTGATGAGCTGTATATACAGACCGCTGTTTGAATGATTAATGGAGTACACCGTATGCTCTAAGAACCATTGACTGATCTCCATGTACAAATTAATAATGGATTCAATAAATTTTTTCATTTTTTGACTGCAAAACTGTTAATCTTCTGCACTGCATAACAGCAATAAGCCGGGAGACGAGATAACTTCTGACAGAGATCATTTCCTTGTTCAGTTACTACCAATATTTTATCGACTTTTCTTCAGCAATACTACAACATCGCCGAGAGTGCTTTTTGACTTCAATAACTCATCGGTTAATTCGAAACGAGATTTAAAACCTAATTTTTAAATCTTATAGAAAATACTTGAATAAATTTCAATACAGCAATAATGTCTTTTCTGCTCAGAAGTACTCAAAGAATGAAAAGTAATCTGTTCCACGACTGTCTTTGAAGCTGTTTAGTTTACCAAACAATTTGACACCCCGTGGCTTAGACCTTTCTACAGTGAAATAATGATACTGTTATCAGTATGACCTTCTTAAATTGCGATTAAGCTCAAATAACTTGAAATTTTTACACTTCCTTGTCCAGCCAAATATCGACAATTGAATACCATCTGTATGTCGTTTACGTAATTTACAACAAAAAAAAAGAAAAAAAAAAAACAGAGTAAGATTTTCAAAATTTGAATTTGACAAACGTTTCCACTTCTTTCACGTCATCTTCCTCAACAAGCCAAAAGAGACTATTCGTATTTCTATAAGCGTGCTAATTCCCACTATTATCAAAGTTACTGACGTGTAGAAATATTTGCTTGATACGTAAGTTCAAAAGCCTTCTTTTTTCTCTTGATAGACTTCGTCTGGTTGCACTCAGCACCTCCCAAGATTAGGATGTAAACAAAAGATGCAAAACTTTTACAGATAACATTGAAGTTGTCAGAACCACACTAAAAAAGTAACTTTGGCTTCGAAGATTGTATCATTATGTGTAAAAACTCCAACATAAAAGTAGCAATAAAAGCTTCCAAACAGTACAGAATCAAAAACAAATATGGAAAGTCAAACTGTTTTTCAATAATTTGCAAAGCTCAATTTCAAATTCTAAAACCTAAGCTAAACACTACAAATGAGTTCACTGATCCAATCAACTTAAGTTACTGGTGAAGAAGTATTAAACAGTTACACGAAAACCAAACATCATTATACTATTGTTGCTTGCTTTAGCAATTTTAACATTAACCTACCTTCAAAGTTTGCACTTTGAATTTGTTTGCCAATTAAACGAACAAATGATCTCCAGTTACTTAAGTGCGTAAAAAGTGAGAAAAAGATATTGGCTAATAAATTTTCCTTCTTTCTTGCTTTCAAGCTTCAATATGTAAATTTAAAAAAGACTAATCAGGCTTTCAACGTAATAACGCCATCAATTGCAGTCCTTTCTTCCAAGAACTTAAGGTAGTAATATGAACCTTCCCTTACTTTAGCGCTTTTTACTACAGCAAGCCTCAATAACGATTATGATACGGGTTTTACTAGTTAATTGTCGATGTTGCTTCTGTAAGTAGACAATAGCCATTTTTTAAAAGCAGGAGACGAGTAACGCAGTATGCTAACAAAAGTGTTGTAGGAGCAAGTAAAAAATCAGAAACTTCTCATACTCATAAAACCGCAGAAATTTTATTCAAAAACCGAAGTTTCTTGCCGCTAATCATTCTTCAGCAGACAAAAAGTAACCTTAACAGGAAAACAAAGCACCTTTCATAAGTAGATTAAACACTTTAGCAGCAACTTACAACAAGGATGCTCTTTTGAAAGATGCAAAAATCAGAGCATACAAAAAACATTAATTGGTTTTTGACTCATGCTAACTGATAAACCACAATAATTCTATACTCTGCATCTTTCATATCCTCTTGTGTTCCTCATTCCTCAGCGTAGAAGCTACAGTGTCACATAAATGAAGAGGTATAAGTGAAAGTAGTAAATAACGGCAAAGAAAACTTGACATTCACTACCTTTTCATTGCCCATAAAATTTTGTTTACTGAGAAAAAAGACAAAGAATTAGCTCAAAACAAGTCACCTAAAACTTATCGATGGTTCTCCAACGACAAGAACGCATAAACCCACATGAAATTCTGATTAATTTACAGGTCATACGTAAATAATATCTATCAAAAAAATGTTATAATATATATAACACTGGATTTTAGTACCGCAATATGCTAGCCAAAGCGTAATAGAAATTACTTTTAACCAAATTATGCATCAAATAACAGGCTTTCAAATGTAATCCGGGAAAGTTTGACAGCAGCATAAGGTTAAACAAACTAAAAAAAATCTTGAAAATATAAAATACAATATAAACAAAAAATGAAGTGAAATGGTCATACTAATTCTAACTAAAAACATCTTACTGGTTATGAGACCCTTAATATCCATTACAACATACAAGTTCCATGATTCATATTTAGTTGACATAAAGAGCCGAATTAGTAACCGCAATATGACAACTGATTACCGTTTCTTAAATGCCAAAAAAATTTCTCCACAAAATGAAGTCAGCTTACAAATAATTCAAAATTTTACATAGATCACTACCAATAAATTAATTATGACCAATGCTACTTTGTTATTTTGCACAAAACCCTGCTCTGAAAGGCAAACAGATACAACTTTTGTAATTCTGATATATATATATATATATATATATATATATATATATATAAGTGCTGTGCTTAAGAGTGCGTATTTTTGTTTGTGGTCGTCGTAAGAAGAGAAACAAGATATCAGTTGCATACACGTTAACCAAATACTGCAAACACTATCACTGTTTCAAACGAATAAATTGCAGTGAAAAACAATGAATATCCCCAAAAGGCCAAGTCTGAGTGCTTTCTTCCCTTGAAACCCTGACGTGAAAAATTTAAGTGCAGTTTGCTGCAGAAGAGTCAAACTAAAACAGAACTAAAAAAAAGCAATTTTGTCTAGGATGTATATTAAAGACTGGCTACTTTCTGAGCCAAAAATATACCGCTTATTAAAACGAAAGTGATGATGACAGATGGACTCGGTCAGCAAGTATTT